TCGTTTTTTAAGTCCTTCTATAAACATTCAACATCGATAAAGATTCACTAGGAAGACAATAGTAAAAAGAATCACACTGGTCCTTAATCACGTCCCTAAGTCCATCCTTGAATGAGTCGTAGTCATATTTTGTGATTTTTTTTCACTACTTCTGTATTCGTACCTCAGAGGATTCGATAAAAACACCCAATGGTAGAATATATCCATGCTAAAGTCGACTTTTTCCTCTTTTGTAATCTTCATTGATCACGTGTAATTTCTAAGGTTTATGAGTCTGTAGTGTCTTAATAAAAAAACAAACATGATATGAAAAAAATATGTATGATCGATAATGACAGTAAGCTTGATTAGATGTGTGTCCACTGGTATCCAACATTTTAAATGTTGCCATTACCTTTTTATTTATTTATTTAATAAGACATCTCAAAGTCCACGATAGGAAGCAAAATGTAACCTTTTTATTTATTTATTTAATAAGACATCTCAAAGTCCACGATAGGAAACAAAATGTAACGAAGGGTAAATGGATACAAAATTGTGACTTCAATGACCTATATAACACAATTAGAACTTTAGTGGCTAAATAAATACAATTTTAAAACTTCCGTGGTAAAAAAAAAAAAGTCAATACTCCTTTCCATTTTTTTTTACTTGCTATAAAATGTGCTACTTGAAAAAGGATGAAATTAAATTTGCAACTTGATCAATATAAACACTTATAGAGAACATGAGGGGTGGTTTTTGATCTTTTGTGAAGTTAAAAAATGAACCAAATAAAACTTGGTTCTGTGACAGGCTGGTCCAGTTCTTCGATAAAGAAGAAGATACCATCATTCTTCTCAAATTCAAACAGTTTTCCGTGGTTTCTGCAGAATCGAAGTCCTAAATTTTGAAATTGAAGTAAGGATTAAACGCAGGAAAGATGAGCGTAATTGAAATTTTAACTCGAGTTGATGCAATTTGCAAGAAGTACGACAAGTACGACGTGGAAAAGCAGAGAGATCTGAATGTATCTGGCGACGACGCCTTTGCTCGGCTCTACGCCGCAGTAGAATCTGACATCGAGACTGCTCTTCAGGTGATTTATGTTTAGATCTGTATCAATTCCTTTGATATCTAGGGTTTTAGGTTTTCCCTTTCAAACTGTTAATTCATTGATAATGAATAATGTTGGTTTGTTATTGTTTTCAGAAAGCTGAGACAGCTAGCAATGAGAAAAACAGGGCTTCGGTGGTGGCGATTAACGCCGAGATACGACGGACCAAGGCCAAGTTACTGGAAGAAATCCCTAAGCTGCAGCGATTGGCTATGAAAAAGGTTCAATCTCGATCTCGCTCCTTTTCTTTGATCACCTACAAATTATACGTTCTTGTACACTATGAATGAACGGAAAATAGTATAAATCGATTTGACTTCATTGCAAAAGACACATGATATTACCTGTCTACATCTTCTTTCTTCTCGGTAAAATACTGTTCTTTTCAAATGATGTGAACTGGTATTATTGTTACACAATTGTGAAATCCAGCAAACATCATAGAAACATACATTGCTGATTCACCCCAATTTGATTACAATTAACAGGTAAAAGGACTTGCTCCTGAAGAATTTGCAGCTCGCAATGATTTAGTTCTTGCACTTCCCGACAGGATTCAGGCAATCCCTGATGGTGGTGCTCCTCCACCCAAACCATCTGGAGGAGGCTGGACAGCTTCTGCTTCTGCTTCTCGTCCACAAATCAAGTTTGATTCATCAGGTCATCAATTACCTCCATTATCATTTTTATTCATGTAATTAACTTCTTGTTTGTATATTATGATAACTTTTTTTTTTCATAGATGGACGATTTGATGATGAATACTTCCAACAAACTGAAGAGTCAAGCCAATTCAGGAGCGAGTATGAAATGAGAAAAGTTAAACAGGTATGTAAATGTAATCTTGATTTTTTTTTTAATTATTATATTTGTTACTTTTTTTTTATTGTTGATATTTTATATAGGATCAAGGATTGGAATTGATATCAGAAGGTTTAGATACTTTGAAAAACATGGCACAAGATATGAATGAGGTTTGTTATCTTATATTCTTATACTTAATTCTTGAAATTATATGATTCCAAATACAGATTTTGATTTTTTTTTTTTTAATAAAAATGTATGCAGGAAGTAGACAGACAGGTTCCTTTGATGGATGAAATAGATGACAAGGTAAAAAAAAAATGGAGAAAATTAAGGTTGATGAAAGTATTTTAATTTATATATTTTTTCAGGTGGATAAGGCAACTTCAGATCTTAGGAATACAAATGTTAGACTTAAGCACACTGTTAATCAGGTGATTAACAACAAATTAAAATTTAACAATTTGTTTTTCATGATTAAAAATTTAACATTTTTTATATTTTTAATTTTTTTTGTGTTGACAGCTGAGATCTAGTAGGAATTTCTGTATTGATATTATATTGCTGTGTGTAATTCTGGGAATTGCAGCCTACTTATACAAGTAAGTTCTTTTTTCCTTAATCTTATATAAAGTTGTAACTTTATACAAATAAGTTATTTAAAAAAAAAAACTTTTTAATTTTTAATTTTGCAGTGTATTGAAGTAAAAGTTTGTGCACATAATGGAATCCCATCTGGTTTGCTCTACTTGTGGTGTGCTCTTGAGTCATGTATGTTTTTGCATCTAATATTTGAACCTCTTTATTATTTTCATTTTATGCTTTTATGTGTTCAATCATGTGAAGCATTTCTATGTTTCTATAAATATATGAATATATTTGTTTTGCATTTTATTATTATCTCGTTAGCATCTTGAGAAGCTTTGAATGTATTGGTATAGTGGGTTTAATGGGTAATGATGTCTGTCCGGATAAAATGCTGCATGCCATAAGGTCTGTTTCTTTTCTTTTCTAAACTGGATAAATCGATAAACTGTCTGAACGACTGCTCTACCCCAAAGAAACACATGTCATTTGTATCAATCCCCAAACACCACACTTTCTCATTTTGACAATTTTGCCCTTCTTCTTGTTGATGTATCTCATTGGTATAGGGTTTGTATCCTTAAATTGATGACAAGGTAAAAATTAGGGTTTGTATAATTTTGCCCTAACATTGAAAGATCTTTGAACAAGCTCTTATTTGAAATCTCAAAATTAGGGTTTGTATCCTTGATTCCTTGCACCATCCACATGAGGGAAAGATCAATACTCTTTCAAATGCGATTTGCATTTATCTTGCACATCATTGCAATGTTAATAATCTTTTAAATGTGGTACCATTAACAAATCAACAATCACTTTGCAATTTTGAACAAATAATCTTGAACTCATTGATTCTTTTGGATTGTTTGAGTTGCAATTAACCGTATCAAGCAATCTATTCTCATACATGATTTAGTCTTGACCACTGACCTTTATACAACACAAAACCTATCTTCATCACAACCATATTCTCCCTTAATGACCTTATGATTGGCCTCATTCTATTCATGTTTCTATCTCATGGATTAAAGAAGTACCATTCATCTTATCCAAACAAAGCTTCATCTACAACCAAGCAAAACAAAATCATGTTAACGAGAGATTGAGACTGTTAAAATTGAAAACTGATACTTACATGGAAACTCTAATGGATCGAACTTGTAAAACCCTATTTGGGAAAGATGGAAGCTTGGAAGGTGGTCGGAGTAACTTTCTTCTGTAAATAGTGTCATATAATTGCTTTGTTGATCGGATGAAATCTAAAATTAAGAAGAAGTTATAGGGTGGGTTTGGTATGATGATGGAATGGAAAAACCAAGAAATAGAATGGATAAGGTAATGTAATGATTGAAGAAAATGAAATAGATCATTACAATACATTGTCACTGTTTGGTTGGTTCGAAGGAATGTAATGAGTCATTCAAATATATTATTTGTTATCAATAAATAGAAAACTAAATATAGTAAATTTGATAAATAAAATAAATGTTACTTTAATTAAATAAAAATATATTGTTAAATAAGTTGCATATAAACATAATTCCTTTTACATGTGAAATGTTTTGCAAATAATAAAATTATCCATGATCTAAAATTTTTACAAAATAAAAGGAACTAGATAACATTGAAATCTTTTAAAATATAATTATAATAGAAGTATTTTTATTTATTTTAAAATTTAAAAAATCATTTAATTAAAGTTTTAAATTTTTCAAAAGATAATAAAAAACGCTCATCCCCTATAAAATAAAAATCAATCTACAAAAAAGAATCACATTTAGTGAAGAAATTCTCCATTTCATTCCTTGGTGTTAATCAAATGAGTTTATTTATTTATTTATTTATTATTATTATTATTTTATTTTTTTCTGCCATAATGCACTATTTCCTTTCTCTTCGATTACCACATACTAAAGATTCGCTTTGTTTTCCTCTTGTTGATGCTACTCAGCATACTCATGAGCTGTAGATATAAGATATATACACGAATACCATATATGTGAAATGTTGTTATATTAATTCTTTATCATTAATTGAACTTAAAGAACTTATACTTTCTCTAACTTGGAATATTCAAACATAAACTCCAGATGTAATATTTTGTTGTTTGAAACAACTAAGTACAGCAATTGTACTTTCCAAAAAAAGACATGATGTTGGAAAATCTATCTTTTAAACTCAAATTAATTATAGTTTGAGATATCTCCAAAACACCACAAATAAAATCTATTTAGTTTTTTATAATATCAAAGTCAAATCAAATACCCCGTATCCTGTTTCCTTGTCCATCTCAAAAGAAAATTCATATTATCGAGTAAGATGCTCTATCGTCCCAAGATAGATATATGTACGTACTTCATAACTTGATCACACATTTATTTCATTTACATATGTTCTAACTTTTACTATAAACAGTGTTCTATGATCCAACTAGCAAGGGTTGCCTTCGGAGCAAACCACAGCTTTATATCAACACACCTATGTACATATATAGCCTCCATTTATACCAATCTATTTACATCATATAATCCCATATATCATATTCCTCTCCCCCATAGAAACTCATGTCATTTGTATCAATCCTCGAAGACCATACATCCCCATTTTGACCTTCCATTAATGTTCTAAGCTTCTTGTTGGACTCAATAACACCTTCTTCTTCTCTGTGATTTCTATCATAATTCACCGATGATGCTTCGAAGTTATCGCTTTTTTCTGATATAGAACACATGGTGTCAATGGAAGGGAAATCTAAGTGAGAACCAAACATGAAAGGCAACATTGGACAATCTTTGAATAGGCTTTCCTTCAAAATTTCAAGATTAGGGTTTTTGTCCGTAGAAAAAATCATCGACTTTTCAGGTTCCAAAACCCTTTGACCATAATCTTCACAAAAGTTTCTTGGTGTACAAGTCTTCATTCTCACTCTACAAAGCACCCAATCATCCAACTATAACCACAAACAACAACAAACAAAATGTACATATTGTTAGTAAGTTTATAAAATGAACATTTAGGTTTCATTGTAGGCTTACCCTCATTGATTCTTTTCGCTTGCTTGAGTTACAAGTAACCGTATCAAGTAGTCTATACTCATGCATGATCCAATCAGTCTTAATCCCTCTTGGAGGCCGACCTTTATAGAACACCAAACCTTTCTTAACCCCAACTATCCTCTTCCCTAATGACCCCATAATCGGTCTATCGGTTCCCGTTGCTTTCCAGTATCCTGACCCTGCCATCCTATTCGGCCTCACTCCATTCGGGTACTTCCTATCTCTTGGACTAAAGAAATACCATTCATCTTCTCCAAACAAAGCTCTATCTACAACCAAACAACATAAAATGAGCATGTTAGAGACGTACTGAGACTGAAACTGATATTGATACTGAAACTGAAACTGATACTGCCATGGAAGCTCCCATGGATCGAATTTGTAAAGCTCAATTTCGGCAAAGATGGAAGCGGGGAGAGGGGATGAAGTAACTTTCTTCTGTAAATAGTGAATGATGAGTTCTTCGTCGGTTGGGTGGAATCTGAAACCGGGAGGAAGTTGTATGTCTAAATTTGAGGGGTTCTTGATTTTCTCCATGGAAATCAAGATTTTGTTTTTCACTTTGTTTTCTTCTTGTTGGTGGAGGAGACTACTATGCATACTCTCATAAGCTGTAAATATATACACGACCAGTGTGTATATGCAATGCTTGTGTAGACAAACTTATATTAATTATTTATCGAAATTGATTTTCAACAAAGGTGTACAAAAATAACGTTTATGTCGCGAAGCGAAGATTACGTATTACATTCTTTGACTTAGAATATCGAGACATAGATTTTAGATGTTTGAAACACCTAAAGTACAACTCGTACATTCCAGCAAAGGACATAATGTCGGATATAATAAGAATCAAGAAATACTAATTTAATTTGGTTATAGAGTCTAAATTAATATTGTAGTTGAATGATTTATTTCCTTTTATGATTTTAATCCATTAAGTATGTTTGAGAGATGAAGATTTGACTACTTGAAATATCGCCTTTTGTAGGTGTCAAAAAAGTTGTACCATAACGAAAGCAAACAAATCAATTTGCACATTTGAAAACAATTCTAACATGACACCAGTAAGTAAATATAATACATGTATTTATTTTTTATAACAATATGGTATTTTCAATTTTTTTTCTCATTAAGGATTTTACATTCATTTTCTTTTATTTTTAAGATAATATTCTTTTAAAAGATCTAACCAATTATTATAGTGAAGTTTTTTGTTTGCATCCAAATATCGTTAGTATAATTGAGTAATTTTTTTCCAAATATAATAGTGTAATAGGCATAAATAAAAATATGATATTATATGAATAAATCAATGAAAATAAGTTATTAATGTTTTTAGGGTGTAATTGAGTTGGTCTCAGAGTAACATGTTTAGGATAAAACATAGTTTCGTTCCCATGGGAGAGCTCTTTGCTAATCATATAGTTTTTCAGTGTCGAATATATGATTTTTCTCTTACACAATGAGTTTGAGAATATTCAAGACGTGTTTAGCAAAACTAACTAGTAGTTGGAAAGTAGAAGCTGGAAGATGGTTATTGATAGTTGGAAGCAGTCGGAAGCTGGAAGCTGACAGTTATAATTTTTATTTGTGTAGAAGTGTTCGACAAAAGTAGCTTTTAGTTTTTAAAAGCGTAAAATTCATAAAAACCAAAAGCTAAAGTCCCGAAATACTATTTGAACTAGCTTTTGGATTATGAGTTTTTTCTTTAAAATAAAAGTTAAAAATTTCTTTAAGTTTTATTTAAAAGCTAGAAGATAAAAGCTTCCAAAAAAATGGTGTCGAAAACACGATCATTTATTAGTTTTTGGGTTTAAGAAAAAAAAAAAAAAAAACTTTCTTTTTAGAGGGTCAAAGAAATGAGGTCATATTAGTATATCCTAAAGCTTTATTCTTCTTCAACATTGAAAGCTAAATTTGCTATTATCGATAACAATAAAAATTTGATACCAAAATTTGTTTTTCTTTTTGGTGATAAATTGATTTTTTTCGACCATTGTTGCTGTCATATGTTGTGTATTTCATAATATGAAACGATGGATTTGAGGTGATGATTTGTTTGCTTTCTATACAAAAAATACTGATTTTATTTTATTAGTTTTCATTTTATGTTTATATGATATTGAAAGACCATAATTAGATAACCAACAATAATAAAATAAGCTATATGTGAGTGTTCACATGCGATTTTGCTATTCAAAATAACAATAATTGGTCGTGTTTGATAAATTCTTTTTCTTTCCTAGATGCAATGAACATATAGATATTCTTATAAAAAACGAAGGGCCATCCTCTGAAATGAGAGTATGTAAGTGTATTTTACCATTTGATAAATATTCATTACAACTAGTATAGAACTATTAAATTGATAGCTATTGTAGCTTCCATTCATAAGATAGAAGGATAAATGTATTATTTTAAGAAAAAAAGGCTGGAAATAGGGAGTCTACTGTTTGGTTTGGTAACATTCCTCTCAAGAACCGATCCGATAGATTGTATTATTTGGCAAACGATAAGAAGTGTTTGATAAAATATAAAGGTGCTAATAATAGTTGGAAATGGAATTGGTGCTGTGAAATCCATGGTGGAGTTGAAGACATGCAATTATAAGGGTTGGAAGGTCTTTTTGAGAATTTCAACCGGTTCGCAGAGAGAAATTTGGATGTTATGAGTGATTTTGCAGTAATTTCAGCAAGTATAATGATGAGTATTTATGGGAGAGTACAAATGGTGCTACAAGGTGGAATCGTTTGTACCTAAAAAAATAAATATTCTAGTGTGAAGAGTTTTGTTAAATCGACTTTCAACTAGACCTAACTCAATAACTTGCTTGACTGAGTGGATGTTTCTTCGATTTTGTGTCAAGGGCGCTCAAATCATGAATAAAATTTAGAGCATTTTTTTGTGGGATGTGAAGTGGAAACAAAAACTTGAAATGCAATTTCAAGGTGGGTTGATTCGTTACATATTGGTTTTCTTTCCTGGAATTCGGTCTTGAGATATTTGCTTGGGTTGTTCGGATATTGGTTTTCTCTCCTGGAATTCGGCCTTGAAGATATTTGCTTGGGTTGATTCGTTACAAATGCCAAACATGGAAAAAAGCAAAGTTGGAAGCTATATATAGTGATAAGTACCTCTTGTGGTGGATTTGGAATTCCATAGTTTTTGGAAGTAACAAGCAAAAAAAGGAGGCAATTTTTGGTTGTTTGATTATTCTTATTATTGGTTTGCTCGACTCTCTTGGATTCAAAATTGATAAGAAATGGTTATTGACCCCTAAATAATGAACATAGTCAACTTATGATCTCTATATTCAAACACTAAATCAATTATTAGAATTTAAGTTGCATTTCAAATCTTACATTCAAATATTATTCAAAATACAAAACCAACATAAATCAAAGAGAATATTTTGTTAAATAATTATTGTAACTTGTAATCTGATCTTTAGAGTTGATTTTGGTAACTCTTATGGAATGTTTTGCAAAACTACTCGGTAGTGGAAACCTAGAAGCTTAAAGATGTATCTTTTGGTATGTTCGAAAATAAAAATTGAAGAGCTTTTATTTTTGGAATGGCATAAGTATATTAAAAAACGAACAAAGAGCTAGTAAAACCAAATTACAAAATCATACAAGCAATTGGAAAATTTCACACCAATGCAATCCAAGACAAATTAAATTCTTGCCTCCTATTTCTAATCAAAAAATATGAAAGAGACAAAATATCATTAAAAATGTCACACTTCCAAAAGCGCATTGTTATGAAATTTCCGTAGAATCCAAAAAGTGGTAATGATGAGCGCGTCAAAACAATTCCTTTGAACCACATTTAATTTAGGAAAATGTACCCAATTAATCCAAGCATCCACAACAAAGAAATAGGGCATTGGATGCCCCAATGACGCCCAATAAGAGTCCAAAAACCTAAAACATCTGGACAAGAAATGAATAAAGGTTCGTTTGATAGTTGCTAATTAGGTTAGAGCTGACTGGATTAGAAGCTGACTGAGTTAAAAGTTCTGACTGAGTTATCTTCTAATTGAAGCTTGTTGTTTGATTTTGAATCTAACTGGCCGTGCAAAATGACTATATTGCCCTCAAACAATATTTTTTTATAATAATTTATTTATTAGTAAAAGATCAAATATATTAAAATAAATTACAAATATCATGTTATTAGATGATGTGTTATTAAGAAATATAACAATTAAACAATTCAATCAATTTGATTCGTAAAAATATCAAACTGAGATCATTAATTCACATCGCAATCCAATTAAACCAAACCTAATTTCCATATAGATAGTCTAAAGTCTAAAAGGTTTATAATCATTAAAGTGTTAAACTAAATAAAAGCTTCGTTAAAGACTTGAAGGCACACATATGACACCAAAATCATCTCTTTGTTTCAGCAGACCCAACACCCACATATCTACCTTTATCCTTATCGTTTCTCTCTCCCCAATCATCGATTCTACTCGCAATCGTCATCGATGTTGTGCTTCTAGTTACTTAACGATCTGTATCTCTCGTTTTCGAATCAAAATTCGTTTTCGTTCATCGACAATTCACTCCATCAAATCCTGATTCATAGAGAAAAACAAAACTTGGGTCTTTAGTTTTAGTTTCTGTACATTGAAAAATCGATTTTAAAGAATTGATGAATCGATTTCAAGCATATGAAGAAATAAATTTCAAATAATCAATTTTACAGAGAGACAAGAATTGCTAACCTGTCGATTAGGTCAAAATGGGAAAAATCTAACCACTTCTGGAGGAGGAGCGATGTGGGAGATTGAAAGAGTGTCGCTGGTAGAGGGTAAAGCATGTCTTTTTCTTCATTCCGCCACAATTAGCCATGTTTTTCCTTTGGATTGAATCAACACAAAAACGAGGACCGAATCAGCATTTTGGACCGAGTCCAAGACAACAGTAAAAAAACAAACGCACGAACTGGAGATTTCTGACCGAGTCCAAGCATTGAACCCAGTTAGACAGTGCATCAAACAGCCCCTAAGTGGTCAACGAAATGGCTAAAGAGAAAAGAGGATAAATCATTGAATCCAAATTAGAGAGTGATTTAGAACCGAAAAACCGGACCGGAATCGGAACCGTTAGAACCAGAATATATAGAACCGGTTCCGATTTCGAGTTTAAAGAATGGATTTATCTAGGTTCCAAGTAATATGGGGTTGGGTCCATCTGGTCTGGGTAAACTGGGTTTAAGAACCAGAACCGGTGTTAGGAACCGGAACCACTTTTAGGGGTCAGAACCGGTTTCTGTGAAAAGTTTAAAACATGCATATCTCATTCGTTTCAAGTCGGATTGACATGCTGTTTTTTCCAACGTGTAGTTTAGAGTTTGTACATGATTTTAGACTATAAATTTGTCATTTTTAGTTTTATATTCATTGACTTACACTCCCCCAAAATCAAGATATCAAAGTTGGAGGTTTTTAGTTTTTCATCTTTTTTGTATTCTGTGAAAATGTTAAAACATGCATATCTAATTCGTTTGAAGTCGGATTGATATACGTTTTTTTTTCAACTTGTAGTTTAGAGTTTGTACATGAGTTTAGATTATAATTTTGTCAT